CAGTTTGAAATTGTATAAAATTATCGTGTTATGACGGTGAGACGGACAAGAGAAGCGTAATTTGTCACATAATTGCACGCAGCGTATCTTACGGCGATGTCGAATGTTTCAATCCCTTTGGCACTCAATAACAAACGTATAGGCAGGACAACTCGTCCGTTTCGCGCAAGTTCGCTCACCAGGCCTACCATCGCAGCATGTTACGATTTTCTTGTCAATAAACATTATTGCGAAGCCTAATCAACCAAGTTAACAGAGAGGGCCTCCTTACCCACTCCAGCGAACCTCGAAGTTCAACACACGGGCAAGGGATCGAGCACCCAGTCACTTTAGGGTTTCTTAACCGATATCTGGACGACTAACCTGCAGTAACGAATCGTCACCGATGATTCCACAACCAAGAGTCGGCGTTGTTGCCATAAATCCGGAGTCGTTAGCTTCTTCGACAGTCTCACCAATGGCCAGCACCAGCGTAGCGTTTACGAACGATACCACGATGTAAGCGTCGTGCTTATCTGTAAAATAACATATCAAAATGATTCCTCAAGAGAAAGTGAGTATAGTTTTACCATCAATATTCTTCTTAACAGTCCAGACCGCATTTGGATTACCAGGAAGTTCTGAGACGGCCATTTCAGCCACCTGAATTGTTGCAATACCGCTTTATGCAGAAAGAAAGCAAATCAAACTCGAAACACTGCTCGAAGACAAGAATTACCTCCAAACCATTCCTCAGAACCCGAAGCGTTGACCGTGCACCTCTCCCAACCAGTGCATAGATCTGAGGCGCATCTTCATGCGCCAAATCGCCAATCTGTAAGGTTCTATTAAGACAGAGTGTAAGGGATGGAAGAGGATAAAACTCACATATGCATCAGTGAATGGGCACAAACTGTCAATGCGATCGAATGGGAACAAGACTTTTTAGTTCGCGAATACCGTAGAAGAACGTTTCGCCTTCGTCTAGGTGCATTTTCGATGAGAATTCTGGTTCTTCTGGATCATCACCAAGGTTCGCGATTTGGTAGAGATGGCTATAACAGAAGCAATAAACAAAGCTGTTGATCGATGGAAATGTAGAAATGCACGCTTACAGGACTAAGTGAAGGGAACTATGCAACTTACTGGTCTCCAAATTCACTAGCGACAAACAAGAATCCAGTTTTCAAGATGCACATAGCATTCGCAGCAGGAACAGTGTCGAAATATTTTACCTTCATTTCTGTCACTAAATCCTCATCGGTTTCAAGCGTCACCTGAATAGAGAGAATTGGAACAAAAACTGAAATGACGAAACTGATTTGGCTAAACAAGTCATGAGCTCTATCTAAACAGCTTTGCTGGCGACTCGATCGTAAGGCTCTTAGGGACGAATTTTTCAGTAGAGAAAAGTTGAAAATGGAAAAAAATTCAAAAAATATGCAAAATTTCAGTAAAAAGAAACACACTCGCCACTTTTTCTGAAGCTATCGCGGTCATAGATATGAAAAAAAACTACCTTATTTTCGCGCGCAAGAACCAAACACCGAAAACCAAGTTCCAGACCTGACTCAGTGGTGAGTGCTCCGAGAACTTGTTTGTATGAGCCCAGGTAGGAGGAGAACTCATAAAAGGAAATTGTATTAATAGACGACTACTGGTTATGGCCGCAGTTTGACAGAGTTTGTCGTAAAAACGGTGAACGAGGGGCGAATGTGTTGATCTCAGGCGGGTCTCGAATCCGCACCTTACGCTCTCCGCAAGGGCGCTATAGGTTGAGCCAACGGACCCGCCTCTCACCTTCGCAGCTCGATGACTTTTATGAGTCTTGTTCGCAGCGGATAAAGGAGCGTGACAGGCGAAAAGGGTTCGGCTGGCGCCCAACCGCGTTTTCACACGTTACTGAAAGCGCAGCAATACCCGCTTCAAACTGTCATGCGTATCATTGCTTTCATTCCCCAAATTTAACGCCGCTTACCCACTCAAAATGTGTAGAACGGGTTTGGCGCCATGCCAACCCAATTCTGTTTGACACGCCCCTTCACCCATAGCGAACAAGAGTATATTCAAGGAGCAGGTCAGCCGATAACGCGAATGAACTGCGGGGCAGAAATCTTTACATGTTTGAAGTAGTTTCATCACAATAAATACTGTTCAATACGCAGTTCGCCCAACAAGGAATGTTCTTAGCAGTCCCTTCAGAATGGCCGTAGGTAACAGGATCAAAATAAATCTTTAAAAGATTAATCAGGCAAAAAAAAGTCGAATCGAGTGACGAGTAATGAAATCTTGGAACAGTGAAGAGGTTTCGAGAGGCAAGGGAAAATCCACTCCTTGATCTTCTGTTCTACCTTCAATAACCAAAGAAGCAGAGATTTAAAGATGATCAGAAAAGAACGAATAACAAACAATAGCTGCCAGTACCTTGAAAAGATCTCCTTGCTCAGTCTGCAAAAGGAAGAAGTACAGCAGCTTTGTCTTGTGAGTTGCCGCACAAATGATCATAAGTGAACGATCTGGATCGTCAAGGTCATTCTAAAATCAAGCCTCTTTGTCAAGCTTCGACACACTGCAATTTCATGATTAACGAGAAAGCATACCCTTCTGCGCGGAATTGGACATCTTATGTCCGGTTGTTCACCCAAGTTTTTGTAAATGAGATAGTTCTCGCAGCAGAGGATAACGCCAGATGGTCCTTCATTACCTCCAGGCACTGGAAGGCAAAGTTTATATTGAAGTCAAAGAAGCTTTCATCTTTCTAAAATCACGAACCTGCAATGATCATGGTCGCTTTGTCATCAAGAGGTTCCGCATACTTCCTCACAACATGATTCAAACCAAGATCGAGCTCATAGAAGGTAAGAGTCTGCTTGGTGGATTGAAGAGCTTCACCGGTGGGATCGTGTTCGGCATCCTTTACAGTATGCAATTATACTTCATTATGAAGAAAAACGTGAAGCAACTAACTTCATAATCAAATTCAAGGCAAGCGAATGTCGGATTTTCGAATCCCACATCTATTCCGACCATACCGTAACATAAAGTGTACTGCTTGTGCGCTTCGAGGGGTGACGAGATGGTTAGGCGAGCCTCAGCGTCACGATTCATGATATACACCAACTTTTGACGCTCTATCGCCCCTGAGAATAAAGGTCTCCAATTAAAAGGCATAAAAACGAAGAGAAATATGTTCAAGGAACAAACCAATCATGACAGCTCTTCCCTTAGGATCGGCGGCAAGATAATGGCCAGGAACGATTCGGCGACATCCCGTTTTCCCGAAAGTCTCCTTTAAAAAAGTAACAGCGTCAGAAAAGGTGTAAAAAAAGAGAAGGTCTAAAGAATTTCGGGCGCTGTTCGGCTTGGGAAGGGCATTTTTGCATTCGCTAGTTCCTTTTGCAAGTTCATGTTATAACAGGTCTCACTTTGGTTTACCTGTGAACTCCTGTGAAGCTGCGCCAAGATAGAAGTGACCCACTCTGATGTTTTTACAGGATTTTACAGGTCTTCACTAGGTGACCTGTGGGGGCTTCGCTGGGTACCGTTTATTGCCCCCACCAAGCCGAACTGCGCCGAATTCCGTAGCTTTACCTGGTGCACACGAGCAAATGCGTTCTTTTCAGATGAGTACTCAAGTATAACTATACGGCCGGAATCAGAGCCAACCGCGATGTAATCTATAAGAGCAAAGGTAAATATAATTCAGCACAGTACATTAGCCATGGTATACAAACCAAAATGAAATACGATAGTAAATAAATAAGTCACAATATGTAAACAAATCACAACATGGAAAGAAAAATACAAAAATTCCAGTAAAGCCTTTCTTCAGAATCTGTACCTTTTGTCCCACCCGTCAAGCGGAATGGCATAAGGGAGCGGATGATACCGAACACCTCGTGACTGCATAAAACCTAAAACAAGGAACCCGAAAACCTTTTTCGAACTTTCCAAAAACAATGATATTGAAAAAATTCTGGATTTCGAGAGCAACAAATAACCTTGATTTTTCCTGTAGTTGGATCACAGAAAAGCAGTTGCAATGTCGAGCCTCGTCCAACACAAATCTCCTGAAAGAGTGATAGATGGAACAAGGTTTCCATTTCGAATGAACAAGCCATTTATTGGGTGATTAGGCTACGTATAGGGCAATTTCCCGGTCACATCATCCAGCCTCTATAGGTGATCGATGCGTTCATTGTAGTGTAACCTACAACCATAACTGCTCATTTACGCGACACTTTACAACTTCACAAAGGGAGTGCTGATAGAAGGCCGCTGATAAGACAGATCCCCATGACCCACGCTGTATAATCCACTCAAAGGCTGAGGACGTTGATTCGGAACTCTCCTTTCAATATACCTTTGTGCAATTTCTAAATCCACTGGATTTCAGCAATATTAGCAGATTTAGTAATTTTTCTTAAGCAAGCTAACTAGGGAGGGGAACATCATAAAATTAATCTTGAAATTGCGAAAAAAAATTGCCCGCCCCCCCCGTCCCCTTTCCCGGCCCCTAGATTTCGTTTACTGTTTATATAGTGAGCCGGCCATTAATGTTTACTCTTCGCGGGGGGCCTGCGGCTGCCCTTTCGTTTGGGTAACGCACAGGGGAGATTTGCACGGTATCGGCACCTGCCCATTTGCCCGTCTGTTGTGAAATTCCTCCAACATTTTAGGATTACAACGCTTAGGAGTTGATTCAAACCTTAAACAGATCACCCTATTCCTGGATGGCAAAGTACGTGTTGTATATTTTCGCCCGCTCTCGTCGGTGCATACAACGCCTCGAGTGGTGATGAGATTGGAGGGATCGCAGTTTTCTGAGATTACTTTCCCCGCTATTTATGTCTTAGGTTGTTTCTTTCTGTAAGCTTCTGACACGAGATTCCTGGCAAAAGGTGCAACGCAGGCCCCAGGATGATAGAGCGATAGGAACGCCTCAGCTTATGCGTTTAGCTAAGTGACTTCAGCAAAATTTTATAGTTGGATTAAAGTCAGAAACCCATAGGAAGCTACTAGGATGCAATAAGAATGTCACATCATCTGAATCACTTACCTTTACCAATCTTAATTATTTTCTTTAAAGCCGATAGTTTTTTAGTCTTGAAGGTGAGCGTTTATGTTGTTACTGGGTTTATGGTAGCTCATAAGGTTCACATAGCATACGACATAACGACCAACTAATTTTTAAATTCTTACAGAAGAAAATCTAGTAACAATTGTACATATAATGAATGTAACAGCAGTCTACACTCAACCCAAAGGTCAGTATTCGAACAAACTGATAAAATGTAAGATGAGGTCGCTGCGCTGATGTGGAAGAGCAAGCTGCGGCAACGCGGATGCGCGCAGTGCGGCGGTCCGCAATGTGTTAAAGAAGCAAGAAAAGCTGGCAATCAAGATTTAAGTCACATATACAAGTACAACTACATACAAGTACCTCGTCACGCGCATGATAAAAAGCGACAATATTTCTCAGGAGCAGCAGCAGATCACCTAATCTGAAAGCTGGAAGCCGGAGAATATATGGATGTAGAAAATCAAAAGGTATTATTTTGTCTGGAACTTTAGAGAGCGGACCTACGGGACAAAGGCTGAAGAATAAAAAGAACAAGGATTTTGTCTGAAACTTCCCATTGTTTTTGATCGGTTTTACTAACCAGCATAAGAATCAGAGAAAGGGGATGGAAGAGGAGAGAGAAAAAAATGAAACGTGAAACAGAAATGGTGAGAACCTCGCTGATTCCGATAGATAACGCACACTGACCATTCGTTCTTTCTACCGACAAACCGCCTTTCAGTGAGGATACTTCATAGTATTTGTTGGATTCAAACAAGAGCAAAGCTATCCAGGCCAAAGTACCCAAAAAGTATTGAAGTGACACTGCTTTAGAAAAGTTACCTGCGCTTTTGGTGTTCCGGAAAAGTTCCCATGAACAGCTTGATTGATAGCAGTTTGACTTTGAAGGGTAAGATTGTAGAGATGCATGATTGTTCAACGATGATCGCACACAATTGAGAACTTTTCAAGCGACACGATGGTTCATCTACCGAACAAATAACTTTTATTACAAGATTTGCCGGGTTTGCACAAGAAGACTAAACGAAGCTGCTTCTGTAAATATAAACCATTACTATAAGGATGTCTACTACAAGCAAAACCGATACCTAACCTATAATGGACATCTTGATTACAGAATTCAGACAAAAAAAAGCAAAGAATGAATTCGAGCTCAAGGCTCGTACATGAACTTGAAGAATGTTGGAGGTTTAAAAGAGCTGTACACCCGAAGGAACACAGCAGTGTTTTAGTTCTTATCGTAAGAGCGTAAGAAGACAAGAAGATAACAGCGAATGAAGGTAAAGAAAAGAGAATAAGGGACGCGGATTAGAAGAACGCTGGCGATTGAGAATTCGAAACCGCCAAAGGCTGCAACACACTACGGTGCTTGCTTGCAATTTGACGGCAAGGGCAGGGTAGAGCATCTTTGGGAGGATCCCGTAAAGAGCATGGGGGGGGGGTCGTCGTACTTGGTCGCCCAGGGGGTTGGGTCATATCTGACTTTGAACGAAAATTTTGCGAGCATCGGAGCGAATTTCTCCGATTATTGGTTTTTTCCATTTGCTTGCCTGCTCTACATGACTCCTTATATAGTTGGCGGCACTGTAGAGCTGCTGTATAACCGTCCCTTTCTGATAGCTGGTCCCACTAGCTTAATAGAAGATGTCTTCGACCCCCCCCCGATCCGCCTGACAGCTTTTTTGTGGAGAAAAAATGGGAAATTGCTATGGAGTTGGAGAAGTGTGACGATACGATAGGATGCCATCGCACCTGAGGAGAAAAATTGGGGATTCTATTGAAGCCGTCATTTACAGTATCCATTACAGTTTACGGTGTCGTAACCCCTGCAAATAATGTGAAGGGGCGTAGGCTGGAGCGCAGCCGACTTTTCCATCAGTTGTTGTGGAATCAGGATGGCATCCATTGATGGAACAGGCCGCCTTGGTTGGGGTCCACTTCAGGTCCCCTCTGATGTGGGGTAATAACTGTAACCCATCACAGTGATGTACTCTGTCTTCCCAGTTCGCGGATTCTCCGAGCTGAAATTCTGAAATCTGCAGCTTCGCAAAGTATGAACGCGGCTAAAGGCGCATGTTGCAGTAAAACGGAGAACACTCCTCATTTCTCAAGTTAACTTTTCAACAGTAATCAGATGGACCTGGGCGGACTACTCAACGTCACGGCATTGTCCGACCAACTCCCGGATACCCCGTGCCCGCGACGTTACTGCCGTCTTTTTATTGAATACCTGTCTCCTCCTCCACATAACTCTGATACGTGTATTTAATGCGCAAATGGCTGCGTTTTCCATTATATCGTAGTTAACGATGCTGCGAGGATGAACGGGAAATGATGAGGGAGTTAGACTTGTTGTGATTACGGAGATGAGGGGTCCGGCTTAGTGAAAGTATCAAATGATACTCAGAGAAGCTTGTACAGGCCACTTTGTGAAGGCCTGTAAAGATCCTGTAACCAAATCGTGCCATTTTGCGGAAACACATGAGTTCACGGGTCTCACTTTAGTGAGATCTGGTAGTTACCATGAACTAGCGGGACTAGCAAGCGATGCTGCAAAATGCCGCTTTCCTTGGCCGAACAGCGCCCACTGAGGCTCGAGATCTATGTTAAATGATTCTTGACGGTCGAATCATTACTTTATGGACTTGGCTGTAGGAAGAGCTCAATGAATGCTACATGAAGGACTCGATTCTTCACCGATTCGAGCACCTACTTCTGTCCATACGGGTTACGACAGTTGACGGAGGGAAGATGTTTTACAGCTTCATTATTGTGGATGGCTTATAGACCAGCACTAAAGGTGCAGTTGTATCGTCTACTATGAATATACCCTCGAAGCGTCTTAACATTTTGCTA